AGAGAGAGAGAGAGAGAGAGAAAGAGAGAAAGAGAGAGAGGCTGGCCCAAGTTGGCATCCAGTTGGCATGGTGTTGAAAGCGGGACTAGAACCCGCGGCCTCCCGAGATTCTTCCTAAGGCTGAGAGAGAGAGAAAGGGAGGGAGGGAGGGAGAGAGAGAGAGAGGGAAAGAGAGAAAGAGAGAAAGAGAGAGAGGCTGGCCCAAGTTGGTATCCAACCCTCCCAGACACCCAACCGCAGCGCCCGTGAAGTCAGGGCGCTCCCAGCCCGGCAGCCGAGCGAGCGAGCGAGGTTTTTGGCGTGTGCGCGGCGAGGTTGCTTTGAGCTCAAACCGCGCTTGCAGAGAAGAGGCGATGAAACCGGGGAAGGGCGGAGACGGAGCGAGCGCGGGGAGCTTTTTCCTGGAAACGGTCGCATCGCGGGGCGCCGAGGCTTCCCCTCTCTCGCACGCGGCGGAGAAAGGCGGCCGGGCGAGCGGGAAAGCGGACTTCTGTCTGGAACTGACGTGCGCGCTCACTCTCTCTCCTCCTCCTCCTCCTCTCTTCCCCCTTCCTCCCTTCCTTCCTCAGGGGCGGAGCAGGAGGAGCCTCGGCTGGCGGGGCGCCTGGTATGAACTTAGTCGGTGGCAACAGCAGCGGCAGCAGCATTGAAGGCAGCGGCGGCGGCGGCATGAGCTCGGTGAGCTGCGGCAACGGGAAACTCCGCCAGTGGCTGATCGAGCAGATCGACAGCGCCAAATACCCGGGCTTGATATGGGAGAACGAGGAGAAGAGCATCTTCCGCATCCCCTGGAAGCACGCGGGCAAACAGGACTACAACCGCGAGGAAGACGCCGCGCTCTTCAAGGTACAACGGAGAGGAGGGCGCGCGGGGGGGGGGTGTGGCAAAGGGGGGGCGCCCGAAAGCGATCCATCGATCGCCCGCCCGGGACACCGACCTGAGTTCGTAGGATCGCAGGAGCCGAGTGGCACCTGCTTTTAGAAGTTGGAGACAACCGAAAGTCGGGCGTCTCGAGCGGCCCCAGCTTTCTTCTCTAAGCTGGTTCTGCGCTGCTACCTTTACCTTGTGCTCTTTATTATAAAGCACAGAGTTGTTTGCTTTTTAATTCCCAGAAAGAGATTAATGCAATTATTTATGTTCTGGGCTTTGGTCTTCATTTTTCCCCCTTTCTTTATAATTTCCCTTTCTTTTCCTTGTCTGGATGCACCTGCTTCAGATCGCTCCCTTTCTGCAGGTTTCCCCTTCCTGCTCCCCCTAAGAAGTAATAGTGAGTACTCCTTCTCACTGTAGTAGTAGCCTCACTTTCGTTCTGATTGGGGGCGATGGGAGTTATAGTTCAAGGCATTAATAGCAATAGCAGTTAGACTTATCTACCGCTTCATAGGGCTTTCAGCCCTCTCTAAGCGGTTTACAGAGTCAGCATATCGCCCCCCAACAACAA